CAGGCTTTGATCTGCCTCTGTCCCTCTGGCCCCCTGCCCCACAACCCACCATGCTAAGGCAGAGCTGCCTCTCCTTAGGGTTTCATCCCTTACCGCTCAGGGGGGCTGGGGCTCCTCTCTCTCTGCTACATTCCAGGTCTTCCTGCTTTAAGAAGACTCCCCACGCACCCCTGGTGCCATTCTCCACTCCAGGGCAGGTCTGTGGACCATTTCACCTGGCTGCCTTTGCTGAAATGGTGCTCATCAGCTTGTCAGTGATGCCACCCTTCCTGGCCCCACCACACTGAAGCAGAACTGCCTCTCCTCAGGCATCCACTGCTTCCTGCTCAGGGGCTGCTGGGCGCTTCTCTCTGCACTACAGTCTGGGTGTTTTCCACTTCAGAAAACTCCCCATGCTCCTCTGGTGCAATCCTGGGCTCCAGAGCACATGTGCCAGAGCACTTGGCCTCTGACACTTGCCAGACGCCTTCCTTTAGGAAGATGAACTATTTCCCTCATCTTTTCCTGGAGTAGCAAGCAAGGGAGTACAAGAAGTGTCACAGGTCACAAAAAAGGTCAGAGGGGCAGTGTCGGTGCTTAGAACTGAGCTGTAGGAAAGCAGTGGAGGGATGGGAGAGGCTGCTGTAAAAGAGGACAAAGGCATCCAGCTTGTGTTCATTGGGGAGTAGAAGTGAAGCTTTGAAGGGACTTGAATTTACTGCAGTTCTTTGGGCAGAGGGGATGCACACAGACATGCAGCACCTGAGTTTTTCAGCAGCAGCTGGCTCCTCTCTGGAAAAGCTCACCTGACAACTGTGCATTCTTACCGTGATTTTACAGCTGCGGGAGGAGGAAGAAAAGCATCTTCAGTCCGAGCATTGTGTTGGTGACTTGAAGACTGCCTTGGATGACAAGGAAAGAGAAGCAATAACTTCTTCCCAGAAACTGCAGGACCTCCTGTTGGCATCTTCTGAGACTAATCCAACTGTAAAACAACTGGAAGAAGACGCGCAACAGTAAGAGAGTAACCCAGTGAAGCGAGGGGTCTGTGGCTTTGGGGCATTGGGTGGAAACAAGGGGAGAGTCAGTGGGATTTTGAAGGACACTTCTGCTGTGGATTCTGTTCCTTAGCACAGTTTGTCTGGAATTAGATTTTCTGGGAATAAGACCTGTATTTCTTCTTAAGCTTTGCAAGTGAAAAGAGCAGATTGGAAGCCACTGTCCAGCAACCAAGCGATAGCGTTGAAGCCCTTCTGAGAGACCTGCAAGCCTCTGCCTCAGTAAGCTGATCCTAAATTTCCCTTTTTGTGACTCTTGAGCCTAGTTGCCTATTTCTGTGGGGAAATTGGAAGAGGAAGTTTTGCTGGAGAGCCTAGGGAAGCTCAGTTTCTGCCTTCTCCTCAGTAGAGGCTGCTCAGAAAGCAGCCTGCTCCTTTACCCAACTGCTACAAAAACCCTGAGGGTATTTGTTGTGCTGGACACTAGAGGAATTCTTAGATTCTAAATGAGGAGTTTCATCATGAGCTCCAAGGGACCCGGAAGTATTGCTCCCAGGAGTGTCTCCCAAATTCTTAAGTAGGTCTAAAGTTTCTTCTTTCTCTCGGGGAATCTTCCAAGTGTTTTCTATGCTCGTTTCCAGTAGATGATAAATACAGTTGCCATGGTCACCCCCTTGAGAGGTTTTCCCAGAATTCACTGCCTTTAGATCATGCTGAGTTTCCTTTTCTTTTTTTTTTTCTGTGTCCAGGTTGGTGAACTTTCCCAGCAGCTGGACATGGAGCCTAGAACAACCATGCAGCTAGAGGCCCAAAAAAAGGCTTTGCAAGAAGAACTGTCCACTCTGTGTGGGAAGTGTGAAAAACTGGAGAAGAGCAAATGCCAGCTGCAAGAAGAGGTGACAAAACTCCATCATCGTTTGGAGACTTTGGTGCTGGATGGCAGCCAAACAGAACAATGGAAAAGAGAGGTGGAAGAATGAGCTGACCAGGAAATAAGTCCAAAGCTACAAGATGTCAGCCTCGTTTTGCAAGTAAGTGACTTTCTCCCCAGTGTCCACAGGCGCTACGTAAACTTCTCTTGTGGCCATGGTTTTTGGTATTTTTCTTTTGCTCCTGTATTCTGTGTCTTAGCTTCTGTCTTTCCTGAAGGCAGTGGCAGAAGGCAAACTGGTTGGGCAGGAGTGCTGTCATGGGTGTGTAATGTGCCGGCAGGTCCCTGAATCCAAAGCCTGCCCAAGGCAGATTCCCACTTTGCAGTGCTTGGGGGGTATCTCTGTCCGCTGCTCTGCTTCTCGCTGCTCATCCTTGAATGGGTTTGGCAATTTACAGCTGTCATGGCCAGATCTACAGGTGCTGCTTTGCCCCTGTAGGGGGGGAAGGTGCTCAGAAAAGGAGTCACTTAAATGACAGGGGTGGGGGTAAGGGGGTGGAGGTGGGGGATGCTCTTCTTGTCTTTGAAGAATCCTTTTCCATATGCCCTGTCCTACAGACACAGTGTCTCTTCATTAGTAGCTTTGAAGAAGAGTGCTAATTTGGGCTTCTTTCCCAAGGAAAAGAATTCTTTGCCCTGGTAGCTCCTGGGTTCTGCCTTGATTGCTGCTGGGAGTGAGGAGGCACAGCCGCCTCTCTGAGTAAGGCTGGGCCCTTGAAACTGGGTGCGTGTGTTGCGTGCACGTGGCACGCTGCCTTTATATAATAAAGAAATCATGTACGCTCCCTGTGAGATGGTAGACAAAGAGGCTTTATTCGAAATTCCCGCTCCCTTTTATATCCCATAACCATGTGATCTCTTTAGCCAATGGGGGTTGTAAACCTCGGCGCATGCTCTCTGGGCGTCTCTGCCTTGGTACATTCCCTTTGTACCTCAGACACGCCCCTACATCACCCCCCTTTTTATTATCTAAGAGGATCACAAAACCAGTGCAAAACAACAGTACAAACAATCAGAACAGTACATTATAAACTACCAAAGCTTGCAATGACCCAGCACACTGCTTGCTTCGGCCTCTTATGCTTCTAATGTAAACCTTTTAAAACCTTCTTATATTCCTAAGGGGCAGTGCAACTTGGAGAAATAACTTTATTAACTTAAAGACCTTGGCCTAACCGTGCAAACTTATAACCTTTCTTAACGTGAGGGTTTTAAATAACTGGGGAGTACAACTTTATTAAGAAACAGGTTAAGCTTAGCAAAACTAAATTCTCTTAAAGCAACCCTGTGGCGGAGGTATTGTTATTTGTGAGGTGTTTAGTGTTTCAATATTTGTCCAGTCATACAACACTCTTGTCCATTCACGCTCTCAATCGCTTGATGGCCATCATTCCACACATCATACACACATTCATGGGTTTTTACAAACTGCTTTTTGCCACACTGGTCGTCCTTAATGTAAACCTTAAACATAAACATAACTTTCTTACAACTTCTGCGTCACTCTGGTTCTTGCTGATGTGATTTTATGCCTTGTGGGGTGTAACAGACCTGGAAGGGGTTAATTTTAACTCTTTTCCTTCAGACTCCCCAGCTTAGCCTCTCTCCCAAATGAGAGATTTAGTGGTTCTGTCCACTGCCCAGATATCAAATCCCTTACCATGACCGATGTTTTGGGAGAGGCACACTAGCCTGGGGTTTGTGTTGCTTTTCATACTTATATGTTTCCAGCATTGTCACAATTTGAAAATTGATACGTACATGGCTTTTCACAGATATTCTTTTGGCTATACAGATTCTCTCCCCCCTTTTTTGTTTAGTTGACACTGTTTTGATGTGTAGTGTGCTCTTTGTATAATTACCTGTCTAATGAGTGAGTGTGGAATACTAGTGACATGAGAATTTTCCTATTTGATAGGAAATGTAGCTGTTTTACTGTGAATATTATGGACCAAGAGTTGCTGGGCAACTAAGCCAGAGCATCTCACACTCTTGGCCTTTTCTGCAGTGGGTGTCGTGGAGATTACATGATGTGGGTATATACCTACTGTTACATGTGCATATTTTAATATGTCCAATTCAGAGATGTGCGTGGATCTGTTTGCTCAATCTCATTCGCAATTAACCATGTGGCACTGTTGTGATTTTTCGACAGTTTGGGCGTGACATGATGAAGTCTTGAGCTGATTGAATGTTATTTGAATTTGTCTGTTTAAGGAATTTGCATTCTGATGGAAAAATTAATGAGACAATTTCGCTTGCTCCAAGACCTTAGATATGATGTTAAACGTTGTTGTTTTTTCAGTTTCTTAGTTCTTTGTCAGTTGTTGGCCCTTACCTGTCATTGTGTTACCTTGTGTGCATTGCATGGATATCAAAACCTTCTATAATTCACAAGAAACCAAATAGAACGAATTTCAATTAACAGGAAAACGCTACGATATCTCAAATAAACAAACTTTCAAGATGGGGTATCAACTTGCAACATAACAGAAATCAATGACAACATTAAAGGATTACTTAGTACACTCTCGAAGGCAATATGGACGGAGTCAGTTCCAGAACCTGCACAGCTTTGGTTCGTGGTCTGCGTCCGTTTTTCCCTTGTTTTGTAGCAGGATTTTACCTGAGTTATTACAGCCTTTTATGCTGTTCCCAGATGCAGGTGTGAAGGCCCTGAAGCCTTTCACTGGTCTGTGTTGGCATCTGGTCGTGGCTTTTAAAGGTAGATTAGTTGTTTCCGCCCACAACCTGTGTTTTGAGAGATGCATGAAAGTTTTACCATGAAAGCTTGTTAAGGCAGCTTGGAACCCTTTGTCCTCAGCTGGCATCCTATCCAAATTGTCCTTCGTAGCTGGCATGTGGATGATGGCAGGGTCCCTTCCGTCCAATTCCTGCAGTCGTCCTCTGCCTTTAATGACAAGCTTTGCATACATCTCATTAACAGTCCACACAGTGTTAGATGGTATGTGGGGCAAAATTAGCCACTTCAGTATTTGCAGTGGGTCTTTTTCAGTCTGATCCCACTGTAACAAGGCTGCTAATGGTTGATACCTGTTGGGAATGAAGGCTAGGCAGATTTGCAGTTCAGGATTTCTCCTTCTGCCTTGCCCTCTCTCTATTGCCTTGGTATGAATGCCTAACACCCTTTTGGCTTCTGGTATCAGTAGCCTGTTAGACATTAGACTGGAGTCTCCCTTTGGCAGCTGAAGCAGAGGGTGTAGCTCCTCTGAGGTTATGTGTAAAATGGCCCTCAGCCATTTAACAGTCCCCTGATGCTCCTGCAATTCGCGTAAATATAAAGTGTTTTTTACCTCGAGCTGCAGCAGCTGTGGAGAATCTTTTTGCTGCATGAATTCCTGTCCAAGGAAAGTCCAGGGTAGTGGTTGCTGGATTTTCTCCGCTGCAAGCTGTAACCCTGCATCTTGGACAGTTTTGATTAGAGCAGTAAGAGTAAATGGCAGTTCATTTCCTGTGGTCGTGCTCATTGGTCGGTTATCTGTATAAGGATGTATCGTGGTTGTTTGATACCTTGTCGGTCTATTTTGCATCCCCTGAGGAAGGACAACCCAGCAATAGCCTTGTATGGACCGTGCATTGTTCAAGGCCATGATGGGAAAGGCAAGCCTTGGCACATCCTCAGGGTGTAGGAAGGTGGTAGAGGAACAAATCTTGGAATCAGTTACCAATAGCGGCCAACTCGTTGGGAGCATATTGGGTGAAGGCAGTCCATGCTGCGGTGCTCCTACATGCTTTATGACTGCACTTACTGCTTTTGAGTTTGGCAGCACTCTCCACCTGTCACCTTTCTTGGGGGTGCAGAATATAGGGGTGTTGTCTGGGCTGTTTGTTGCCACTTTGGGGCTTGCTTCAAGCTGCTTCCTCTCTGGCACATGAAAGCCGGTGGCACAGAGGGCAGCAAGCGACACAGCAACAAGCAGTGCGATGCTTGCAGCAAGGCACCTGTCTCGCCTTCGGCTTCCCTGGTACAACTCAGTCCATTCCTTGCCATTAGAGTATTTTTGGGGCATTGCTGCAAAGGGTCTCCAGGTGTAATCTCCTTGAAAGTGGTCAGTGCTACTGCACCTGACACCACTTGCTCTAAGTCTGGCCTCTTCTTGTATTCCTAGCTGGGCTTCTAGGGCCGCAGCTAGAGAGACAGACTGGTGCTCCTCAGAGACAAATATTTGGTAAGATTGAACCAGCTCAGCAGTGCCGTGGTCAACCCCTCCAGAAAGGGTTTGCAAAGCTTTCTCACAGCTTGCTTTTGTCTTTTCTAAAGCCAATTGCTTATACAGCATCTCTCTGGTTTCATTGTATTCAATTTGCTTGCCTAAAGCAGACTGCAGCCGATTTAAATATTGTGGGTTAGGCTCAGCACAACTTTGTAACACTTTTGTGCTGGGCTGATTGCTGTTTTGGTCTGTGGTGAGAAGCCTTCTCATGGCTCTCAGCGCCTGTTTGATTATCACTTTTTATATTTTTCTCGGGGGTGATTTAATTGGGCACCTGCTGTGCTGTGTCTTCCTTCTCCAGTTAATGGATTTATTGTTATGTCGGTTGGGGTGTTTGCTGTGTGTTTGGCACAATTCTCCCGAAAGTCAGATAACCAGTCCACATGTTCTGTGTCATGTGGGGTGGGAAAATGGATGGAATTCAATGCCTCCGAATACCCGAAGGCATTATTTAAGGATATGCCACCATCTCTTACCGAATGCCTCAACCTCTGAGCAGCTCCATACAGGAGCTCAGGCTGAGGGGTGTGGCTTTGGCTAAATTCATTTGAGTATGCCCGATTATTCTCCAGGCTACTCGGTCGAATTGCCTTATCCTTATTTTGTTTCCACGTGTTATCTGACTTTCCCCCGTTTGCTCCCTTGCTCCTTCCCGACGGAACTATTGCTAGTTCCTCCCCCTTCCCCCCCCATTCCCCCCCCCCGTGGCTCCGGCAATCTCAGTTCCCGGTGAGGGGGTGTGGGCGGGTGTCGGAGGCGGCGAGGGGGCGGAGCTACCTCCCCCCTCGCACCTATGGGTGGAGTGGGGCGGGGTTTGGGATGGAAGAGACAGTTTTCCTGGGCCATTTGATGGGCAAGATGGCAGCGCCCATGCGGGGCCACGTGGCGGGCAGTCATCCGCGGCACAGGGAGGCAAATCTGCTGGGTTACCCCCCCGATCGCCGTAACGGAGCCCTCTGCCATGATCCCATGAGTGGGGATCTCGCATCACAGGTTCCGTCCCCTCCCAATGGCCCGTGTCCCTTTGGCTCTCGACTTCTGACTCAGTGCTCAAATTACGAACATCTCCCATTCCCCCCCCCGCCAGACTTTGGGCATTTGTGTTCCTATGCCTAAAAGTTGGGCGGCTGCTGCTAGCAGTATTATTGGGGGAGTGCGTGTCGGTGTTATACGCTTGTGTTGTCCGTTCGTGGGCTCTGTGTAGTGCAGACATTATTATTTGCCATGCTGGGAAAGCTCTGATAGCCTGGGGGTTTCCCCCCTGAGCTGTTAGCTTTAGCAGATCCCCTATTTCTTCCCATATGCGTATGTTAAGGGCTTCTACCAGTGGCAGTTCGGGGATAGTTGTCTTAATAAAGTGTACAAGCTCAGTAAGTTCGGCTCTTGAGGCTTGTACATGATATGGCTTGAGAAGGATAGCCAGTGCATCTGTGTCTTGTGAAATTGCGGTGGAGAAAAAATTCCCCATTTTACCTTTTCTCGGCGCTTTGGACGCACGCGGACGGAAGTTCTTTGTGTGGTTGCTGGCTACTCCCAGTTCTGGTCGGTTGGTTTCCCCGGCTCAGCGGCAGTGGCTGCAAACGGCGGCGGCGGGGCTCGGCGGCGGCGTGCGGCGTGCTCGATCTGCGACGGCTGCAGTGGCGGGGCTTCTCCCTGGCGCTGGCAGGCGGTGGCGGTGCGGGCTCGGGGCTCGACGCGGGCTGGCGGAGCGGGCTGGCGGCGCGGGCGGCGGACTCGGTCTCGGCGGCAGCAAAGGCGCGGACTCTGTCTCGGCGCGGGCGTACAGCGGGGATCGCTAGGCGAGGTGGGGTTCGGGGGCTGCTGGACGCGGTCGGCGCAGGGTTCCCTCGGTCCCGCGCGGCTTCTGGGCGGGGCGCGGGGCCGGTGGAGTCGGCGGCGACGCGTGCAGGCGGCAGGCAGCACGGAGCTGCAAGGCTTTCTGCTAAGCAGACAGTCAATGCGGGGGTCCGGCGGTGTGGCTGGGGTGGTACGGGCAGCGGCGGCACCGATCCGGTGTGGCTGGGTCAGCCGCGCGGAGGCGATGGGGCAGCAGGGATTTCCCGCGGTTTCAGCACGTCTCCCGTCCCGGGTTTTCCGAGCTGCGGTCACGCTGCTGCTCAGGGAGCAGTCCTTGCCTCCCGGGCTGCCTCTCAGCTCACTCACTGCTTCAGTGTTGCGTGTTGGACCCTCTCCGCTTTCTCTCCGGTGCCTGCCCGCTCCGGTCTCTCGGCGTTTTCTTCTTTCTTCTCGTTTCTTCTTTTTTTCTGTGCACTTACCCTATACTTTTTTGAGCTCACTAACTTCGTTCCTTGGTCTCCCCCAAGGCAACGTTTACAGACGTCTAGGTTTTTTTCGGTAAAAGGACTCCCACTTTATAAAACTAAAGTGATAACCGGAAATCCTACCGATATATACCTGTTACAGGTTTAAGCTATCTGATCTAATGTAGATTCGGCCCCAGGTTGGGTCGCCAGATGTTGCGTGCACGTGGCACGCTGCCTTTATATAATAAAGAAATCATGTACGCTCCCTGTGAGATGGTAGACAAAGAGGCTTTATTTGAAATTCCCGCTCCCTTTTATATCCCATGACCATGTGATCTCTTTAGCCAATGGGGGTTGTAAACCTCAGCGCATGCTCTCTGGGCGTCTCTGCCTTGGTACATTCCCTTTGTACCTCAGACACGCCCCTACATGCGTGCAATTTTCTGCTGGGCAGAGCTCTCTTTTTCTTGTGGTGGTTGAAGGTGCACTGTCTCCTTTAGGCACAGGCAGCCTACCAGGACATGTTAGAAGAAAGCAGAACCAGTCACTTGGACTCACTGAAAAACCAGTTAGAAGACAGAATTAGAGATCTTGAACGTGCACTCGGAAGGAGAAAAAGCAACCAACCAGAAAGACCTTTTCAAAAAGAATCCGCCCAGGCAGAAGTGGAAAAATACAAAGAGCTGTATCTGGTGGAAGCCAAAACCAGAAAAAGCCTAGCCAAGAAACTGGAAAAGTAAGTCCATGCTGTTTTGGACTGGGAAGAACAGACTCCTTTTTCCTCGTGCATTTTCCTTCTAAAATCCCTTTTCTACATCTGGCCAGCGTCATGTGGGAAAGCAGAAAGTGGCATATTTGTGGGGAAAGTTCCTTAAGACCCTTCCCTTCATCAGACCTGTCTTCCTTTCTCTTTAGAGTTCCAGCAGTAACACCACAGCACCGCCATTATGGCATTATGGGTGTCTTTTCAAGTTGAGGTTGTTTTAGCAGGCAGTCTTTTTGCCAATCTCTAATCTTCTCATCCCGTGTGTGACAGAAAAGATGAATCTTGTGCCCTTTACTGTTTGAATAAGGAGAGGCCTCTCGGAGAAGAGAGTTGGATTCTGTGAATGAAAATTAAGAACGCTCTTTCTTGGCTTCTGTTTTGGCAGCAGGTCTGAGGGTTGAGCTTTCCTTGAGAAGGCCAGGGTAGCCCAGAGTTCTTATGGAGGTGCCACTTGCTGCTCCTTGCACTTGGTGTGATTTCTTAGAAACAGGCCCTCTGAACAAGCTCAGATCAAAGGATGTGCTCGTTTGGGACGCTCTTGATGCCCTTGGCTTTTAGAAGTCGAGTAGTAGTCAAGGCCATGGAGGGTAACTTTGCGAAAGCCTTACTGCCAAAGATGACTCTCTGTGTGCTTCTGAATGTTTCAGAGCTAATGAGAGACTTGCAGAGGCCAACACCAAGCTCCTTCGGGAGTGCCACAGAAGCAAATCTGCAGTCCCAAGCAGCGCCGTCAGCGGACATCTGGCTGCAAGTCCACTTCTGGATTCAACTGGCCTGGGACATCTTGCCATCAGCTTGGGACTGAACAGAAGTCTGGCTCTCACAACACCACCCAGACATCTGTGGTAAAGCCCAAGACTTCTGCTCATCAGGTTGGTACAAATTTTCCAGAGTGGTCAAAGGCCAAAAAATATGGAAATGGAAGCAATGAGCTGTGTAACTACATTCTTTGACAAGAGAAACTGTGGGAAAGAGCACTGTGGCGCAGGAACCTCCTACCTAAGTTCTACACTAAATTGACACGGATGGTATGTGTGACCTATTTCAAATGGCTAATGTCCCCACGAGTGCCAAATGCCACCAGACATCTGTGAGACACCTTTTTCTTCATCACTGATCTTCGTTCTAGCAGTTTCTTCACTGGACCTTGCTTTAATATGTTACAATGCATAGGAGGCATTTGCTCCTGTAGTTCCTGCTACGTCTTCCTCCATGAAACAGCAGAGCTACCTACTCCTTGGGAAGTCTTCGTGGCCTTCTAATTTTGCAGCAATGCTGCAACCTCTGCAATTCCACTGGTCCAAGTATGCCCTGTAATCAGCAGTCAGTGTGATAGCACATCCCTCCCAGAATGCAGAGCATGATACCAGGAGACGTAGGAACCACACACCAGTAGTTGTAATCAGTGGGACAACCACATAGCACGGGATTGAGGCATGGCCAAGCTTCTCTGTTGAGTTAGTGTGTTGAGTTGTTGGATGAATGCAGGAAGCATTTGTTCACTTTGAAGTCCATCTCAGTTCACTGGTCCCCCCACCTCCATTGGAAAGAACCCATTTCAACAAGGTGTCTACACACAGCACCTCGTTGAAGACAAAAACGCCAAGAAGGCAAAAAGGGCCAAGGCAGCGCAGGGAATGTGGAGCAGCGGCAGTTCCAGAGAGGAACTTTTCTGTACCGCTGTGAACACGTTTTTGAGGGCGGAGGCGTGGACAGGCAGTACAGAAAGAACTCGTGAGGTAATTAGTGCTCTACCATCTGCAGGGACTATTCTGCAGGCAAGCACTAGAAAGGAAGCAAACTTCAGGGACCCAACGCAAAAGGGAAAAAAGGAGAAGACCAGGAGGGGCAGGGAGCACACAACAAGTGAGGGAAAGAAAGGACAGTAAGATGTTAAAAGAAGGAAAAGGCAAAGGAGGAAACCACTCCTGTTGGAGGAAAAAAGCTGCCCTAGTTTAAAAGAAAAGGGTTGGCAGTTGTGTCTTTTTTGAAAAAGAACAGGGAAAACAGACAGTGAAGGGAAGGACAGTGGGAGTACCCAGTGTTTCCTAAAACCAAATTACAGCAACAATCTTCAGCTAGTCCTTTCCATTGTGATTTTCTAGAAGAAAACTCTGGGCATCTCAAAGTTTTGTCAGGATCAAGACAGGTCCCTTCATTGCTTCCCTGGCTTCCCTGAAGGATGTTACAGAAATTAAATATTTCTACAGGTTATTTCATGGCTCATTGTTTTATCCAGTTGCTAATCTATGCAGATGTGGAGTTCAAATGACTATCCAGGCTGCTTCAATGCTTTGCAACAAATGCTTCCCAGATCTACTTGTGGAAAACAGTTGAGCTGATTCCAAGGAAAGAATGCAGTATTTCTGAGAATGGTGATTCTGTTCTCACTCAGCGTCCTGACTTCAACAGCACCCATCCAGTTTCTTTTCAGACCACGTGTGTCTCACAGCCTTGAGCGGACTCTCAAGGAAGTTGATGCACAACTACTGTGCAAGTTTGGAGCTGGCTTCCTGCCAAGTCTCCGAAACTTGACAACAGAGTCTCCTTCCCAGAGAGGGAAGGAAAAAAAACCAAGTAGCCAAAGGTCTAGCAAAAATATATATATTTTACGTATAAAACAGAGATATGCAATGAGAATTATATATATGAATCTATGACCCCAAATAGCTTCCCGAAGGGAAGAGGGGGGAAGGGAGAAGGGAAAAGGATAAAATAGGGTGAAAAGGGACAAAAACAAAACAGATCTAAAAACCTGGCAACCAGCAAACTGAAAGATTGGCAAGAGCTCACCACTTCCCTTGAGAGAAAGCAGGACGTCTGGACGCGACCCAGCACTCCCCCCTCACACGTGGCCGACAACAGCAGTCACTGTAGGCCTCAGTTCCGGATAAGCCAGACCAAAACAGGGACCACCATTCTCCAACCTCGCCGGAAGAGAAGAGAGCGAACTCTCTTATCAATGCCTTATTTATACCCCAGGTTACGTAAAGGAATAGCATGGAATACTTCCTTGGTCACCTTCCTAGTTCCTTCCTGGTTACAAGCTGGTTTCCAGGAAGGCCTGGTAGGACATTTCCCCCCTCTTCAATGACTGATGTCTGGAGGGGTTTTGTTTCTTAGTTTGGGGGCTTGCTTCCGTCCCAACATTTCTCCTTCCTATTGCATTTTTGTTGGTAGGACTTAGTCCCCTGAAGTTCTCTCTGACCTTGATGGCAATCTCTGGAGACTTTTAGTTTGTTGTCAACAGAGGAGCTGAGGATAGTTCACTCTCACTAGACGCAGTTTGTCTTCTGGGGATTTGCTTTGAACTCTACTACCATATCAAGTTCTAAAGTTTTCTTCCTCGAAGGAGTGTGAGTAAAATGATGGCTAAATCCACAGAAATCTTACCTCTTAACTCTGTCAATACTACATCTTAACTGTGCCTTTTCTGTATAATTCTAGGCACGACAGGAACGGGATGCAAAAATGGCTAGAGACCCTCAACGAGGTAATGTGTCATTATGTTAGGAGGGTTTTTAAGCAAAAACGTGACTATTCCTAACTCTTGACAGCTCTCCAGCCATTTTTTTCAAGTTCCTGTGAGAAGTAGGTTTTTGGGGTTTTTTCTGCTAGCCTTCCAGTTGAGACTTGAATGTGAAAACTTGCTGCTTCCCAAAATGTTGCGTCCAATGTTATGAAGTTGCCTGGAAAAAGCCAAGCACAAAGAAACACTTGGCTTAAGCTGAAGTTGCCCTTCACTAGAGTTGATCTCAAGCACAAACAGCAAAGCAGACACGAGATCAGATTTTCAGAAGCTTCAGCCATCACTTCCCCTCCCGTGTACACCGATGGCATTCAGCACTAAACCGTACCATCTCCGTTCTTTGTTGTTAGTTCTTGATTTTTGCTAGGATTCTGTGATTCATGGCTTGTCTTGGTAGCTTAGGTGGTGCAGTCTTTTTTGGAATAAGCAAGAAGATCGGTGGCAAAAGATAATCTGTCTTCAGGAAAAGATTATTCAGTCGTTTTTTGGCAAATATCAGTTCAGTGCTTGCCATACGTAGCGTAAAACCTGCTGTAGAATTTGAGGCCAGGTGTCCAAAGAGTAAATGCACCTGTTCCATGGGAATTTGTTCCTCCAGAGTTACTGCTTTGCAGTGCCTGCTGCTGTGTAGTAGTAGTGTGCCAATAAATCACTGGTTTGGACATAAAAGGAAAGCAAAGACTTTGGGTTGAAGAGGTCTCCAGGGGGCTAAGTTTAGCACAGGAGTCATTTGTGGATTCCCTGAAGATGTCCAGTGTGTAGCCTCCGGAATGTCTTCCCCTTGCTTTAGAAATGCTGTTGACGGGTAAGCAATTGTGGAAAAAATGGGTTTCTTCCTTTGCGCCCTTCCGTTGTTCCGTTCCCTTGGAAATTTTAAAGTCTCTGTCTGGATTGCAGTCTCTCCTGTTGCCTGTCATGTTCTTGCCGTGCCTTATTTTGCCCTGTCTGCTGTAAAAGTAACACCAGTTTTCCCCCCAGCCACTGCTAAACCTACAAATGGATCTGCTGGATCTTCAAAAAATCTTCCTGTGGAGCAGTGAGGCGGTCCCTGTGGGAATAACAGGTTTGCCACTCTCGGGATTAGGGTGTAAAAAATGGCTCGTTTATGGAGGTGGGTTCAGGCTTCTATAAGGTAGGGGTAGAATTTTCTAGAAGAAAGGGAGGGACTAGGGCTGTGTGATAGTTTCAGTCTAGGCCTTCCTGGAGACCAGCTTGTAAGCAGGAACTAGGGAAGTGACCAAGGAAGTATTCCATGCTATTCCTTTACGTAACATGAGGTATAAATAAGCCGGTCAGAGAGACCTCGCCCTCTCTTCTTCCTTAATTGTATATCTGTGATATATGCAAAAGATATCTATTTTATATAGCTTTTACTGTTTCGTTTTTTACCTTCTTCTGGGAGCTTTTCTTCTGTAGTCTGTGGGGTTTGGCGGGAAGCCAACTCCAAGCGACTATAGATTGTTTTGGTGTCAGAAGTGAGATTGTTTTGGTTCTTTTGGTTTTGTTGTGGGAACATTGTCTGGGAAAGCTGCCAAGAGCAGGTTTGTTTGGTAAACATCCACCATTGTTTTGAGACACTACTGGAAGAGCTGCCAAGAACGATTTTGTTTACATAAACATAGCTTTGTTTAGGAACAAGGAGAAAGAAAAAGAATAACGATGGCCTTTTTACTAATTTTTTTCATGATTCTAGCTGTTTTTGTGCCTGTCCTAGGACATCCTGTAAGGGACCATTCAGATGGATGGAACGAATTGCTTCCTTTCTTTGATTTCGACATCCAGGGCCTAGTAGCCAGTTTCCTTAATGGTGGCATTCAAGGTTTGGTAGCAAAGACTCCTAAGATCAGCTCCAACCCGTACCTAAATTGTTTAGCGACAATGATCCTAGTGGTGAAGGCAGCAAAAATGCTACTTAACATTGGAAAGGTGGTGCTGCATTGGTCCCCTTGTTGTAAGAAAGGCCGAACCTCGAAAGGAATTGCTGGAGTTTTGGGAAGGGGCTTGGAAAGGCCAGTCTCTGGATGGCAAGGAGCATGGCTGGATTTTGGTAAACTGGTAGGATGTGCGACCCCTCCCATTACTTGGGACTTCACGCCAGAACAAGTGTTCCATCCTGATGAGATGACGCGTTGTTTAAGGGAAGGGTGTCTTTCATATGATGACCCAAACACGCAATTTTTGGCTTTGTACTGGGGCTTGGCTAGTGCTTATCGAGCTGCCGTAGATCACTCTCGGAAGGTTAAGGCTGAGACAGAAACCCAAACCATGCCATCTGAAACCAGTGATGTCCCTATTGAGTCCACAGAAATCGGGGTCCAAACAACTTGAAGTCAGTGCCGTCTCTACTGAGTCCACTGAAACTGGGACCCAGACCCCACTTGAAGCCAGCATGGCTTCTGTTAAGTCCACTGAAATTGGAACCCAAACTACTACATCTAGAGTCAAGGTTATGATTGAGAGGGGGACCCAAACTGTAAAGTCCAAAATCACTATTACCCCTAGAGTGAAGAAGAAGGCATGGATAAGGCAGGTTATAGAACCTACAGGCCCACCTCCGCGATTAGTAAGAGAAGAAGGGGCAGCTGCAAGAGAAGAAGAAGAAGAAGAAGAAGAAGGAGAAGAGTTAGAAGGAGCAACAGGACCTGCCCCGTCCACGTCTCTAAGGGAAGAAGGGGATGCTGAAAAAGAAGAGGGAGAGGCCGCAGGAGAAGAAGGAGCGGCTGCTAGAGAAGGAGCGTGCCCAAAAGAACTAGGAGCATGTCCAAAGGAAAAAGGAGTGACAGGACAGACGATCAGTGATATGCCAAAGAGAAAGTCGAAATTGGACTACCTATTAAAGGATTTGGAAGAAACAGAGAACTTGCTAGGGCATTTCCCTAGGCACGAGGGAGAATTATTCCTACCTCCAACTAGTAAGTCTGACGGACGATGTAGTTACACATCCTCGTGGCGCACTTGGTCTCCACCTCCACGTGAGAGACGCAGAGAGAGAGCGGAAGTGGTCCCACGTGGAAGAAGCGGAGGGGAAGTCATTATAGCAAGTGAAATTATGCGATCAATGACCCCAGCAGAACTCTGAGACCTACAAGGAGATTACAGTCGCAAACCTGGTGAACGAATTCTCACCTGGCTGTTACGATGCTGGGATAATGGGGCTAGAAGCCACAGGTTGGAAGGTTTTGAGGCACAGCAGTTAGGATCTATGGTTCGAGATCGAGTCACTGAACAGGAAATGGGAAGAGAGAGACATTTGCGCAGTCTTTGGCTCCAGATCCTCAATGCTGTGAGGGAGAGGTACCCATTTAGAGAAGAGCTGGTGAGTTCTCCAAGAAGGTGGACTACGGCAGAAGAAGGCATCCAGTACTTAGGGGAATTGGCTATGCTGGAAATCGTTTCTTGTGACCTAGAATACCACCAGTGGCTAGAGCCAGAGAGCACTCCGTGCACGCAGTCAGTGTGGAAGAAAGTAATTAAAGGTGCCCCTGCATCATATGTTAATTGCTTAATAACAATATACCATCCAAGGATGACTGAATCGACCGTGGAAACGATGTGCACTTGGATACAAAGCATAGCAGAAAGTCTGGAAGACTCCTCTGACTTCCGACGCAGCCACCCTAGGAAGAGAATGGAGAGGCCTTACGAATATGAGGACAACTACAGAGATAGAGATTACAGAGATGACAGAGACAGACCAGTGGAACGGTCTCAACCACGATTTCAACCTCGACCTCGATCTTGGTGCCCATCTCGTTCAAGATCTCCTCCCCTCATATGCAGAAGGAGAGAAAATCCCAGACGTAGATCATGTGGTCAACTGTGGTCTTACCTACACAGCAAGGGAGAAAACATGAAAAAGTGGGATGGTGAGCCCACTTCCAAACTGGAGGTCAGAGTGAGAGAACTGAAAGGGAAGGAAGACGATAAGAAAGTTGTCTACGTGGTCGATGCAGATGTCCTGAAAAACGGCTGCGATCTCCGAGACGCAGGAAGACAGAGGTCCGCTTCAGTGCTGACAAAAATGCCTCTGATAAGCCAAAACAAAAATCCGACAGCAAATGCTCTGGTCAAGACCAATAGAGGGGCCCTGCCTTCTGCCAGGAGAAGGAGAGGGACACGGCAGATAATCGGGTTTACTGGGCTGTGTGGGTTCGATGGCCTGGCACATCGGATCCTCAGAGATACCGGACTTTGATAGATACTGGAGCCCAGTGTACTTTAATGCCATCGGAGCATAAGAGTACAGAGACTGTTTCTATTTCTGGAGTGACAGGAGGGTCTCAAGAGTTGTCAGTGGTAGAGGCCAACATAAGCTTGACAGGAGAGCAATGGGAAAAGCATTCCATTGTGACGGGGCCAGAAGCCCCTTGCGTTCTCGGTATGGACTACCTAAGAAGAGGATACTTCAAGGACCCGAAGGGCTACCGGTGGGCTTTTGGTGCAGCCACAGTGATTGAAGAGAAGTCCAAGCAATTATCTGCCCTTCCTGGCTAGCAAAACAGGTGGAGCAAACAGGACAAGATATACCAACTGAAGCATTGTTAACTCTGTTTTTGTGCCCTTTTGCCATCACCTGGTGGGGACAGAGCAGAAGCCCCGCTCTGGCAGGACAAGCGGAGCCAAACTAAACCAGAAGCAGAGATGCTGAGCCTGCTGGGGATCTGCATCTGTGCTGCAGAATTGCACACGTGTTAACTGGTAGAATCGTGGAATATTCTGAGTTAGAAGGGACCCACAAGGATCATCCAGTCCAACTCCTGGCCCTGCCCAGGACACCTCAACAGTCCCACCCTGCCCCTGAGAGCATTGTCCAAACGCTCCTTGAGTTAACAATGGTTCAGTTGGTATACCTTGTCCTGTTTGCTCTACCTGTTTTGCTAGAAGAATATTTTCAGAGCACTGGTTAATTTGTTCTGTTCTGCTCACTGGACCAAAGTCTTTATTATAGAAAGAATAGGAGTAGCATACACAAGGTAATAAATTAGGTAAACTAGACATTTGAATAAGATCTAGAAGGCCCAGAGCCAGGATTTTGCAAGTTTGAAGAATTCAGGTCACCTAATTGAAGAGGTCAAATTGAGGAAGACGTCCATGGCGACCACCAGAGGGATGAATCTGGGTGCATTCCTCCCATTGTGGGGTTCCATTTCCGAAGGCTTGAGGTGGATAGGGAAGGGGTTACTCCAGCTCCAGGGGTTTCTTCAGGGTCCTGGACGCATGGCGGGGTTAGGTGCTCACCCCTCCCCCCACCCACGTGTTCCCATGGCAGCTGGAGAGACAGCACACAGCACGTGGAGAGGAGGCGAGAGAGCGTTTATTGATGGGGTGGTTACATTTATAGGGTTTTGGAGGATTCACAGAGTGACCAATTACAGGGTCAGGGGGCTTACAGGACACCCAATCGCAGGAAGGGGTTAAAGGTCCAATGAGAAGACTTCTTGATATCTTCTCAGGGGATTCCTGAGACAGAGATAAGAACTGGCCATGGGGGATTTTGGGAAGAAGAAAGCACGAGCCAGCACAGGGACCACAAAAAGCCATTTTGAAACACACTCAAACCACAGCTTCCCATACAAGGTAGATTCACTGCTACAGATGAAGGCTTGAGGAGAAGACCCCCACAGTAGAAGACTGGGCATGTCTGGAAAGACTCCACCGAGAGACCAGCCTACTCATTAATATGTATAATAAATGATGTAACCATGTATCTAAAGTATATAAGATGTCTTGCTTTTGCACTTTCAAGTGGAGCAAGTTTGTCCAGTGCGAGCTGGCTTGCTCCCAACGTTGAATAAACAAATATCTTGCTGTTTAAAGTTAAAAAAATGTCTCTGAGCAGTCTTTCGGGCCGATTTTTTCGGATTCATTTGGTGACCTTCTCCACCCGGCTGCGGAATCCCTCCGAGGATGGGACCCCCTTGGGCGCCTTCAGATAAGTCTTTTTACCCGAAGGGACTCCCTTCTTTGGTGGCTTCTTGCAGGGGCTGGACAAGAACACTGCCTATTGATAAAAGGTATTTATATCTGGTTTCTGGTTTTGTCTATTCTGGTTCTGGTTATTCTGGTCCTGGATTCCCATAAGTCGAAGGCGGGGCGCCGTCTCTCGTGGGGATATGGGAGAGGACGCTCTCCCAGGGGAATATCCCCTCTGGTCTGGTCTGGTCTGGTTTTGTTTGTATTTGCCAAATATTGTTTATTTTGAGGGAAACAAGGGTGTCTTGTTTGTTTTCGGAAAAGTTATTGTGTATCTGATATACCTTGCTTACCTTGAAACATCCAGGACCACATAGTTAAAGGTATTATCATGCTAAGAATTCCTATATGAGAGGTAGTGCTGAAGAGTTAACTATAAGCACACCACTTTGGATAAGACCAAGAATTAAGATTTGTCCATTTTGCAACTGTTGGTTATATGTACAAGCCTTGTGTAATAGATGTAAGGTTTACCTCCCCGACAGACAAGGCTGGGTCAGAACCAGTGTGCACATTGTAGAAAAGAGGGACACTGGAAGCAAGAATGCCCTGAATTAACAGGTGGAAATGCAGGCACAGGAGGGGCTGTTGTTGCTTACAGAGTACTGAGTGAAGAGGGGGGGCCGGCGGGCCTGCATCTAGGGGACCTGATGGTAAAAATTAAGCTAGGGAAAGAAAAAGAAGAATTAGATTTTCTAATTGATACCGGGGCTACATTTTCTGTTTTGAATCAAAACTTAATACCTAAAAGCAATAAATATGTTTAAGTCGTGGGTGCCACTGGCCAATCAGAAAAGCTTTCTTTTGAAACCCCTAAAGTTCAAAATTGGGAAACAAATGGGAGTGCATCAGTTTTTGTATTTACCAGATTTACCCAAACCCGTATTGGGCAGAGACATACTAGAAAATCTGGGAGCTGTAACAGAATTCAAAGAAGGTAAAATTGAATCTAAGGTAAAGGAAGAACAATTAATAGCAGCTCTGAGTTTAGCAATGAGCTATGTGGAGCCAAGCCAGGATAATTCAAATGTCAATCAAATTTTAGACCAAGTATACCCAGGAGTTTGGGCTACTGAAACACCAGGAAAGTTGAAAAGGGCAGTTCCCATTCAAACAGAATTACAGCCAGGAGTAAACCCAGTAATTAGGAAGCAATATGCACTGAGGTTGGAAGATAGAAAAGGAATTGAGCCAATAATAGATAACTTCTTAAAATGGGGGCTTTTTGTAGAGTGTGAATCAGATTTCAACACCCCAATTTTACCAGTCAAGAAGCCAAATGGAACATATAGGTTGGTTCAGGATTTAAGAGCAGTAAATAAAATAACTAAAACATACATGCAGCTGTTGCAAACCTATATACCCTCTTAACAATATTAAAAGAAAATCTAATTTGGTTCACAGTATTAGACTTAAGAGATGCCTTTTTTTTCTGCCTTCCCTTAACACAGGAAAGTCAAAGGATATTTGCCTTCAAGTGGGAAAATCCCACCACAGAAAGGAAAACTCAGCTCATTTGGACAGTGTTACCTTAAGGGTTCAAAAATTTTCCCACAATTTTTGGGAATCAATTAGCTAAAGAATTGGAACAATGGCAGTCACCACTGGGAAAGGGTGTACTTTTATAATATGTGAATGATCTACTGATTATTACTGAAAAACAAGAAGAATGTGTCCAATGGACAGTAAACCTCTTAAACCTTTTGGACTTAAATGGGTATCGAGTCTCTCAACAGAAAGTGCAGCCGGTGCAGAAACAAGTGGTGTACCTGGATTACGAAGTATCTGGAGGACAACGATCTCTGGGGACAATGAAAAAGGAAACCATCTGCCAAACGCCCAAACCACAGATGGTGAGAAACCTTCGAGCCTTTCTAGGAATGACAGGTTGGTGTCATTTATGAATATATCAGTATGGGCTAATTGCAAAGCCTTTATATGACCTGCTGAAAGTAAATAAGAATGACATAATTTGGACCCCCCGAGGCAAGCGAAACCTTCAACTGACTGAAGCAAGAGCTCATAAGGACTCCGGCGTTGGGATTGCCTGACGTAACGAAGCCCTTTTGGTTGTTCTTGCATGAACGACAAGGAATGGCTCTGGGGGTCCTGGCTCAGCAACGAGGGCCATACAAAAGAGCAGCAGCCTACTTCTCCAAGCAATTGGACGAAGTAAGCAAAGGATGGCCCACCTGCCTAAGGGCAGTAGCAACAATGATCATAAATATAGAAGAAGCCAGGAAATGTACAATGGGGCAGAAAATGACTGTGTTAGTGTCCCACACAGTATCTACGGTACTGGAACAGAAAGGAAATCATTGGTTGTCACCCTCCCAATTTCTGAAATATCGAGTAATCCTGGTTGAATCAGATGACATAACCATTCAGGTGACTAACATTGTTAACCCAGCTTCATTCCTAGAAGGAAGAATCTCGGCTGCACCTGTCGTGCACGACTGCCTGGAAACCATTGAAGCAGCGTACTGCAGCTGCCTGGACCTTAAAGAAGAACCACCCCTGGATGCAGCAGACTGGTTTACCGATGGCAGCAGTTTCATAAGACAAGGTGTGAAGATGGCTGGGCATGCTGCGACCACCACTACTGAGGTAATCAAATCAAATCCTTTGCCGGCAGGAACCTCAACCCAGAAAGCAGAACTGATAGCTCTCATGAAACAGGAAGGTAAGCCCAAAAGAGTTAACTAAGAAACTTGGGCCTGCTAACAAGTTACTTACATCCAAAACGATCTGTGCTTGTTCTGTTCTACTTACTGCACCAAAGCTTAACAGAATGTTAGAGGTACATGTAATAGGCCTAGAGGCAATAAATTAGGACGCAGTAAGATAAAGTAGACATTTGAATAGGAGAAATAGACCAGGAGCCAGGGCTTTCTCCAAGCTTGAGTGAGCGGGTCAAGAACAATGGAAAGGAAGAAGGGTCAAACTGATGAAGATGAGAATAAGCCCCCTCCCCATGGTAGGAAGACCGGAAGTACCCCCAGAATTGAGGGTCAAGAGAAGCGCCCCCCCAAGCTCCGCCTGAGCTCCGCCTATACTCCGCCTGTTATCAATATGTATGAATAGATGTTGTAATCACTTGAATATGCATTTAATCACATCTGAAAATTGTATAAAAACTGCTGATTTTGTGTGAAGCCTTTGAGCAAGTTTTTCCAGCAATGGCTGGCTTGCTCCCAGCGCTGCTAATAAATACCTTTGCTGCTCAAAAGATCAAAGCTCTCTGGGCAGTTCATTATACCCGATTTTTCGGATTTGTTTGGCGACCTGCGGCAGCACACCTTCTCCACCCGGCTGCAGAGATCATCGGAGGACGGGACCCCCTGGGTGCCCTTGGGTAAGTCTTTCTACCCGAAGGGGCTCCCTCCTTCGGTGGCCTCTTGCGGGGGCTGGACAAGAACACTGCCTATTGATAAAAGGTATTTATATTTGGTTTTTGGTTTTGTTTATTCTGGATTCTGGTTATTCTGGTTCTGGATACCCATAAATCAAAGGTGGGACGCCATCTATCACGGGACACGGGAGAGGACGCTCTTCCTGGAGAAATATCCCCTCTGGGCTGGTATGTTCTGGTTTTGTCTGTATTTGGCCTAATAGTGTTTATATCGGGGAAAGAACAAAGCACCTAAGTTTCCTTTGATTGTTCTTTAGTCTATGTTTTAAGTCGTCTATTATGTACTCTTGGAAAATAGCACTTGTCATAGCAGTGTGTTCGTGTTATATTGCTTTGCTAATTTTGTGTTTTCTTGCTTTGTGTTGGAGGCAATACCGAACTCCTGAAGTGTCTGTTCACCCTAAACCAACCATAGAAACATCTTGTTAAACTTGTATGGGGAGGGGGTCTGAAAAATTGACTGTGAATACACCACATAACTTAAAACCTAGAATTAAGATCTGTCCATTTTGCAATTGTTCATTATATGTGCGTGCTTTATGTAATAACTGTTTTAAGTATATTTTAGGACCCAGGTCTTCCCAAGAGATAAGGTTAGGTTGGACTTTAAATTTGTATTGTGTTAGATGTGGAAATAATCAAACTCTGGAGGAAACTAGGTGCATCCGATATTATTGTTGTAGGATTCATAGGCCAGTGTTTCTTTCAATATGCTTAGGGTCTTAACATCTGGTTTGAATTTTGTGGTTTAAGTATATAGATTTGTTATTAAGTGTGCATCTGGTGGTTAACAGCAGCACGTTGCAGATTTGTGTGGATACATAGGCTTGTTGTAGAAGCCAGGTGTATTTGTAAGGGTGACATCTTGTGGATTTTTGCAAGTTGGTGATTTTTAGAAACTGGTGATTTTATGAAATCTTTGTTGAAAAGCAATATTAAGGTCTGACAGTTGAATATTGTTTGGAGTCTAATAGCTGTGGTTGTTAGCATATTTTAGATTCAATCCCCTATCTTCATAATGGGAACCAGTGCAAGTAAGGAGATAAATTCCAAAACTCCTGTAGGATGTATATTGAGCCATTGGAAGGATTTGGGAGGAACCCCTGGGGGCAATCTGAGTAAAAAGACCTTTTTGAAATATTGCCAGAATTGGTGACCTTTGTATATTTTAGATGATGGTGAAAAATGGCCTCCACAAGGAAGCGTAAACTATAACACTATTTTGCAGCTTATGTTATTCCTCCGCAGAGAGCAGAAATGGGATGAGGTGGTCTATGTCGATATGTTTTTCACTTTAAGAAACAAACCAGAGTGGCAGAAAAGTTGTGGAATTAATGTAGCACCCCAGGACCCCCTTGTACTGGCATTGGAAAGAGATCAGAAAAATAGTAAGCCGAGAAAGCATTGCTGTGATGCCTGTAGCATAGGTGAGAGGTGTCTTAAGCTGGGAAGGAAAGGGAGTGATGAAGATAGTATCCTGGACCCTCAGGAATTGCAGTCGCCACATTTTAGAGGACTGGAATCACCTAGGCAAGGACCAGGCAGCCCGCAGGAATCAGGACTAGGGGTAGATGACTCTGGGAGTATAGCTGGGGGTGTGGAAGACCCCGAGGAAGGGATAAGTAGCACACATCGTGGTCAAACTTTGGCACAGAGTGGTAGGAGAAGGAGCGGGATTAAGACAAGAGCTCAAACAGCAGGAGTAGGTCATATGTTAGTGCCCCTGCGTCAGGTAATAACACCTACAGGCACGCAGGCAAAAGTGAAAGTACCCTTTTCGACTAGTGATTTGAACAGCTGGAGAGAGGAAGCTAAGTGCTTTAGGGAGAATCCTGAGAAAGTGGCTAAGAGATTTGAATTAATTGCAAAGAATCAGGAAATAGACTGGACTGATATTGATTTGATGTTATCAGAGTTGACAGAAACTGAAAAGGAACTTGTAATAAAAACAGCTAGACGAGAAGTAGTAAGCCAGATTGCCACGGGAGTTTTAACAGGGGATGTAGATCAGATTTTTCCATTGCAACAACCTAATTGGGATCCAAACAACCCAGACCATTATAGAATGCTGATGAAATATAGAGATCTGATTAAGGTGGGATTACAAAATGCTATCCCTAAAGCAGTGAACTGGGCAGCCTTGTATGATGTAAGGCAGGGACGAAATGAAACCCCCACAGAGTTCTTGGATAGACTGAGGGCTGCCATGAGAAAATATACTACCTTAGATCCATCATCAGAAGAAGGTAAACTACATTTGGTGGGGTTCTTAATGGGACAATGTAATCCTGACATCAGAAAAAGATTGCAGAAAATGGACCACCCTGCTAATAAAGATTTAGAGGTATTAATGAATGAAGCCTGGAAAGTGTATAACAACAGGGAAAAGAGGGAAGATAAAAGGCTTACAAGGGCAATGATTGCAGTTTTAACACAGAACCCAGTAACAGCAGGACAGTATTACAGGGGGCGTGGCCGTGGACAGGCAACACGGGGAAGGGGAGGTTTACCCTTCAAGCAAACAGAGATAGGTCAGAATCAGTGTGCTTATTGTAAGCAGGAGGGACACTGGAAGAGGGAGTGTCCTACTCGGGCAAACAGGAATTCAGGGGGGGCTGTCATAGCCCACCAAGATAGTGATTGACGGGGACCGGCTGGTTTTTCCCTGGCAGACCTGTTGGTTACAATTCGGCTAGGGGAAGAAGAAGAAAAACTGGATTTTTTGATCGACACTGGAGCAACATTTTCTGTTTTAAATCAGGAATTGATACCTAAAACTGATAATTATGTACAGGTTATTGGTGCCACTGGCCAATCAGAAAAAGCTTTCTTTTTAAAACCCCTAAAGTTTAAAATTGGGAAACAAATGGGATTGCATCAGGTTTTGTATTTGCCAAGTTCACCCAAACCTTTATTGGGCAGAGATCTATTAGAAAATCTGGGAGCTGTAATAGAATTTAAACAAGGTAAAATTGAATTCAAAGTAAAGGAGGAACAATTATTGGCAGCTCTGAGTTTGGCTGTGAGCTGCATAGAACCAAAACCAAACAATCTGAATATTGACCAAATTACAAATCAGGTATATCCCCTGGTGTGGGCCACTGACACTCCAGGTAAGTCAAAATGGGCAACCCCTATCGGCGGAGGGGCATGAACATAAAGCTCACAGACCAATTTGGTCGGCAAAATGTCAGCTTTATTAGAAGAAAGACAGCTTATATACTGCTTATCACACACAGACGTGATTCTTTCCCAGGCTACATTGGATACATAAGGAAAACATACTGCGTTGTGCAGTACTAATTGGCCCACAGCAGGTGTCCATAAAACTTGTTTACCTGCCAAGAGAACTCCTCCTTCACCTTGGCACAAGGCCTGCAGCCATATTAGTGGCGTAGTATTTTTTACTATCTGCACCCAGCCGTGCCAAGGCAAAGGTCGCAGAAATGCAATACAAATTGTTCACACGATTTCTGTATCCCGACAAATCCCCCGTTCAAATTCGAACAATTTAAATTGCATTTCGGTAACATTCCTTATTGTATCCATAACATTTCAATAAACACAAACATGCGATAATACTATTATCATTAATAAACTCAATAACCTATTGAAGCTAAGATATGTGCTCTCAAAGTGTGCTTAAAAGGGTTTCTTTAAATGTAGGGTTTATTCTTAAAAACTTCCACTCCGTCCAGAACATCCCTGGAGATGGAACTCCATTCAACCTTGGGCCATATGTCTTCTGTTATTCTTTTTCACACCTTGGCCCTTAAATAACACAATGGCATAATCATATAATACCACTGGATGTTCTGTTTCTGTTGCACCCTTTGCATACCATTCTATTATAGCTTCTGGATTTTTTGCCACTTTATGTAAAGGTGTCTGTGTATTTGTTTATCCAAAAGTGTTTGTGTATTTGTAATTGAATATTCACACACATACATGCATACATTTTCATTCATTCACTTTCACACGGTGGCCACCATCACCCAAACACGCCTCACACAAACATACTTTTGAATTCCATTTCATTGTGTTTCGTGAATTACGAAACCATACTAATTCTCTAGTACCTTATGGTGTTAAAGCTTCTCCACCAAACAGGTAGAGACCCCTGGTGGCCTAGTGGTTAGCGTGCAGGACTTTCACTGCTGCGACCACGGGTTCTAGTCCCCGGTCTCCTGGCCTGATGGAGGTCGTTAGCCCTGTGTGGCCATCCATCTATGAGAAGGTCACTCTAAACAAACCTACGTCCTGAGGACCTCACTGCCATTGTCCAAGCTTGCTTGGCCCCGGCAGATGAACCTTAGGATTAAAGGGTGGGCTCAGTTCAGCGCAGGCTGTGTCTCACCTAAAAAATCCATTGCGCAGGCTGGAAAGGTAAAAAGACCTTTCCCCAAATCTTCGTTCGCGAAGATGGGCCATTATTAGAGCTACTATACTACCAAACAGGTAAACTTTCCTCCACCAGTACCCAGTGAATAATCTAAGATCTTTACCTTCTATAATTATATGCTTAAACATACTAAAAAATTGTGCTCCAACAAAACTGTGTTCTAACAATATTGAGGAAACTGTTAGCCACAACAGCTCCTGGTGTTACCATTGTTACCTGCAGAAAACAGCATCAACCTTGTTTCAAAAAATACCAGTTTCTGTCCAAGGCTTCATTCATCATGCAGGCAACTACTGACACCTGTGTACAAAAGAGAAACTTAACATATGAAACAACTTTCGCAAGTTAACTGAGGGACCTGACACCGGTACTTTCCCCGTTTCTGCTTTGCGAAAGTGTTTTATAAATTCTGAAATCACTGATCTCTATACCAAATACATAGCATTGTCTGGTAAGTTGACAGTATCATTCAAACTATACAAGCAATCCACCCTTTTAAAGTTTTTCCAGTTAGGATATGATATAAAATTTTACCTCAAAAATTGCTATCTTACATATAATCCTGGGTAGACTCATAAGCCAAAAGGTTTTTGTCATATGCTGAGTCCAAATAATTCCCGCTACCTGCTGCAACACTACTGGAAGGAAACACATACAAATATGAGCACTGCAAAGTAACCAATGTCTGATGTAGAATTCCCAAACCACACCATTCTGCCTGATCTTCACAAACATCACTGGTATGACATGAACAGCACAGAAACAAACCGTTTTATACAGCGACAACCATGAGGCCTCAGGATGTTACAAATTCTATAGCTTTCCATTGTCTTCTTTCCCCCTTAGTGACACGTCTGCCCCATCCCAGGAAGCAAAACCAAGCACAATTGCAGACACTCTGCACATGGCATCACATATGTCCTTCACTTATTGAAGCCAGGGCTTAGCTCTAGCCTTTACCTTTAACACTGCTGCAAGAACAACTTGGCAGCACACAGCTCAGGAGAGTTTGTCTTCAAATTTTGGCTAAATTAGAATGAGTGGAAACACCTTTGTTATCGGTAAACAAGAGCAAAACTCTTTTAAAGTTTTACAAAAGATTTATTTAAGGCAAATGAGCAAACAGCGCTGGGCGGACGGGGTCTTGCCCCCCCTTCAATAGTCTACAAATTCAATAAGTTTCAGTTTTTCTTTTTATAACCCCAAATCTCCTCCCGGGTTTCTGGTTACCAGTTCATTCTGCGCATGCTCTGCCTTTGTTACTAGGGAATCTTCTCTTCCCTGTTTCTTGTCTTTCTTATCAGCTTCTCCTGGCGTCTTCTTTCTTATCAGGTCTGGCCGCCTCCTTCCTCTTATCCGCTTGTGTCAGCTAAGAGTGTTTTTGTTGTTGGGGGCCTTTCCCCTGTTTTATGTCTTCCTTGACAGGTTCTGCTGCAGTTGCTAGGGAAAATACTTTCTACATAGATAGTTAAAATCTAGAGGTAACACAGTAGAATATAATTCGTCATGATAACATAACATCACAATTCACAATTACAGTATTACAAATATAATTTGATAAGCAAATTATCTCTTTTTGTCTTTATTGACTATCACAATTCCTCCCCTTTCTTATTCACTAGTAATTTGCTTATCGAACCTCATTACAACTTCTCGAGCCGCAATTAAGGTGGGAGGTTGTTCTGCTTTAGGTGTCCCTTCATTCAAGTCCAGATGTTGCTGTCTCATTACCATAAGTTGTACCGTTTCAACTCTACTCTTAATAAAAGTCACAATTTTATTCAGGATACAGGGACCAAGTGTCAAAATTGTTACCAGCGCTATCAGAGGACCTATTAGGGTAGAAACTAAGGTAGTTAACCAAGGTGATTGGTTAAACCATGATTCAAACCAGCCCTGTCGAGTTTCCCTTTCTCTTTTTCTTTGAAGAATTCCTTCACATAATTTAGCCATAGATTCACGCACTACTCCTGAGTGATCTGCAGAGAAACAACATTCCTCCCCTAATGCAACACATAGCCCACCTTGTTGTAAAAATATCAAATCTAATCCTCTTCTATTTTGCAAAACTACTTCAGAAAGTGAAGTGAGGGACTTTTCTAAGTATGGTATCGATTTTTCAATTCTCTCTAAGTCTTCATCAACTGCTGCTCTTAGAGATGTTAACCCTCTATTTTGTTCAACATAGGATGCAATTCCCGTGGCTGCCCCTGCTGCTCCCAGACTGAGCATGGCAATTGTTATGGCAGTAAGCGGTTCCCTTTTTTGTATCCTGTGTGTATTATCGTCCCAATGGTCCAGAATCGATTCCCTTGAATGATAAAGTATTCGAGGTATGACCGTTATTTGTACACAGAACTCCTTACTTTCGTCAAATATCTGTAGAGATATGCAGGGAGTTACACCCGTCCTTGAGCATATCCACCATCCTTCCCCGCTAGGTATAGCCCATTTTTTTGTTTTGTCCAGTTTCCTTATGGTATAGCTGCATAAGTCCTTCTTGGCGGTAGGTACATTCCCTATACACACTCCCTGTCCTCTCACTTGCTGGAGAGTGATTCCTACCTTTTTCTCTTCCCAATTACACTGTGTGGGGTCGCCCTGGTTGGATATTTTAAATGAGGTGTTCAAAACTATCCCTTCATAAAATGGGGGTTTGATATCATAGCACAACCAACAGGAATTAGTCATGTTAGAGTCAGTGTGGTTAAGTGCATAGTAGGTCGCTTGCATTAATCGTAGTAATGGTTCTGTTTTCTCATATTCCTTGGTGTAGGTTGAGGTTACACTGGAGTTGTTAAAGTTAACAGTCGGGACGGTTGAGTCTTTGAAAGTCTTTCTCTTCCCACTCTCCTTCTGGTTGAAGCTATTCTCTTTCTTTTTTATTACTTTATTGGGTCCTATTGCCAGAGGGCGTTGGGTTGTTTCCTGTTTTTTTATTGTTATTAGCCCTCCCCTGTCCGTCCCAGGTTCCCAGTATCTGATTCCCCAAGTTTTTCCTATTAACCATCCTGGGTCCTCTGGTCTCATTACTTGGAGGGTTATATAACTGCAATTGCTATCTCTCCTAAATCCTCCAGACAAAACAATTTGTGATGGTTTACAGCCAGGTGGTCCCCAGGTTGTTGCCAGATACTTATCTCGGGAAGTAGGGGTCCAGGCAGAAGCAATTGTGGCGCAGTCCCAGTACGCACAGTGATATTCATTAGGGAGATTACAGTACCCCTTCCCTGGATTGGATGCGGGACAAAGATAGTAGGGTTTCGTATTTAAGCAACGTGATAAGGGTCCCAGTTGACACAGTGTAGCAGAGAAACTGGGAGGTCCTGCTGTAAGATTGCTCTTAATTATTTTCAGATCACCCCCTCTGGTCAAAGTCCATTTGTATGGTTGATGTGGGCTTTCCCTGCTTTGGGGAAGCTGCCACAAAAACACTGCAATCCAGATATAATTTCCCATATCCATTCTCCACCGCATTATTGCTCTGCCTCCTTCGTCTACTCCTTTGCAGGGAGCAACGAGGTTTGCATTATCTTCTCGGCAGCAGTCAATATTCTTCAGGAGAATATGGGGGGTTTTTTTGGTTTTTTTTTTTTTTTTTGGTAGATTCCTACAACCTTTCGGTTTTCCTTCTATTCCTCAAGACTCGTTTGTTTCATATACTCCTCTAGTATTTCTAAAAGTAGGCTGGTTGTTAAATTTGTTTTCCAGGCGAATTTAATGGCACACTGTTCTAAAGTTTTGTACCAATCCTTTTTATAGACCTCCCAGTTTTCTGGTACCAACCACTCCCATCCGCAGAATAACTTGTCAATTCCCAGAACACTCAGTTGCTCATCAGAAACAATAAAGAAATCTCGACATTTCATACAATGGGGATTCCGTCTACTTGCTACACAATACCACTCTATACCACATAATACACATTTACAACTGACCCAACCTTGATGCCCTGAGCCTGGGTGTTTTATACAGGGAATTTTTCGTACAGGTCTTTCTGGCAGGGTAATTTCAGTTTCGAATTCACAACAAAAAGGAAAAGTTTTCCCTTTTTCGGCAATCTGATACAGTCCACTTCCCCCGGTCTGGTAAGGGATTGGCCCGCTCAGCCAACAGCTATACCAAACCCTTATTAAGGTTAGGTCTGAAGGCACTTCAAACCAGGAGTATAGGCTGGATCTTATGTCCCGCTCAAAGCGATTCATTTACCAGTCCCGCTTTTCTGAACGTCATTCGGAGATCTCCGGGTTGGGAGGTTACAGTCCATTCAGGAGTATTAACTGGTCCTTTAACACGAGATGCGTGAGTCCACCCTCTTTCAGCGGTACGAATGGCTGTATCTGTAGTGAGAAGAACGACAAAAGGTCCTTCCCAACGAGGGGTTAATGAGGACTCTTTCCATGTCTTAATTAACACTCTGTCCCCAGGTTGTATTTTGTGTATTGCCATATCCAACGGGGGTCTCTGAGTTACTAATCCTTTCTTTCTCAATTGTTGTCTCCTTTTCATTAGCTCAATTATATACTCCCTTAAGAGGGTGTCTTCCACCTTTGGATTCTCTATCGGGATTCCAAAATCATATGGTATTCCATACATCATTTCAAATGGTGACACCCCCGTGTCTGTGCGTGGTTGGGTCCGAATATATAATAAAGCCAATGGCAAACACTTTACCCAATTCATTTTACTTTCTATCATTAATTTAGTCAATTGTTTTTTTATTTCATCATTCATTCTTTCCACTTTACCAGAACTTTGAGGGTGCCACGGCGTGTGGTACTCCCACTTGGTTCCAAAAAGCTCTGTTGTTTCTTTGATTATTTTAGAGGTGAAGTGTGGTCCCCTATCTGAGTCCACCACTGCCACAGTACCGTACCGCGGAATAATTTCTTCTAATAAAATCTTAATCACGGTTTTGGTGGTGCACCTTGCCACGGGAAAGGCTTCTACAAAGTGGGTGAGATGATCTACTAACACCAGTAGGTGGCAGTATCTCCCTACTTTAGGTAACTCGGTAAAATCTGCCTGTACCTTTTCAAATGGTCTTTTAGCTAATTCTCGTCCTCCTTGCACCCACTCCCTCAATTGTCTTTTATTTACCTTCTGACAGGTTAAACACCCTTCAAGAGTTCTTTTTGCGATTCCATGAGATCCCACACAGACAAACTTGTTTTCAAATTGATCCACTAAAGCCTGTGTCCCCCAGTGTGTCTGCTCATGTAATTTTCTCATTATTTTCTGGGCCAGACCTTTCGGAAGAACTTCCCGTCCGTCTGGTAATAACCACTTATTATTTTCTTCTTTCGCTCCAGACTGTTGCAGTTTTTCCTTTTCTTGTTCACTGAAGCTTTTCGGAATGTCTATGTCCCCCTGTTCTGAACTAGCCATTACTAATAAAGCCGCCCTTTTTGCTTCCTCATCTGCCAAGTTATTACCCCTAACAGTAACCTTTAATCCTTTCTGATGTCCCTTAATATATACAACTGCAATCTGTTTTGGTTTTCTCAGAGCCTTCAGAATTTCTCGAATCAAAGTTTCATGAATGAGCCCCTTACCTTGTGTATTGATTAATCCTCTTTCTTCCCATATTTTGCCGAAAGTATGAACCACCCCAAATGCATACTTAGAATCTGTGAATATAGTGCCTGCTTTTCCGTCTAATAACCGTAAAGCTCTCAACAGTGCATATAACTCACAAGCCTGAGCTGACCACGTCTTATCTAAGGGCCGACTCTTTGACTTGAAAAGTCTTTCCATCTATCACTGCATATCCCGACTTTCGGTTCCCATTAACTACCCTAGATGAACCATCTATGTATAATTTCTCTCCTTCATTCAGTTCTTCCTCTTCTAAATCTTCCCTAATTTTTGTCTGAAAATTTATTACTTGTAGGCAATCATGTACCAGGTCTCCTTTGGGCTCCCCATATAAGAAATGGGCTGGATTTTGTAGATTTGTCACTTCTAGTTCTAATTTAGGTGAATGTAATAGAATACTTTCATAT